CATAAAAGGTCTAACGTATTTTTGAGAGAAAAAATTAAAAGCTCCATTAATAATCTTCGCAAAACATTAGAAATATAATTAACTGTAATACATTTATGCGAGTTACTCTGGATGTTTTCTTAATCATTTTTATCGTCGACACTTTACACAAGCTATTGATATTTACTTTAACTTTAAGATCCAAAAAAATAAGGAATAAAATGAGCTAATAATCACAAAATTTTGAATTATATATGCTCCAGCATTATTTATTTTATTTCCATTTTCCCTAGAAAAAAGCCCTAAATTTTAATTTCAACCTTCAACATAAACATTTCCAAAACAGTTTTCTTTCCTTCAACTTCTCGAACTTTCTTTTTCTTTGAAAGAGAAATGTAAATTAAATTTTCAGATACGTTGGAGTGGCAAACTTCCTATGTAAATGGAATATTGAAACACCAGATTTCTTTAAAAAATGTAGTGCATGTTTTTATTTTGTTTTGCAAACCGTGTTTCTCCGCTGCATAGCTAAATTTATGAAACGCCAGAAATAAAGTTTCACAAACTAAAATAAATTTTTAAAATTACGCATTTAATTACCTATTCAAGGTATACAAAAGGTTTGGTAATGACTTTATTGTTATAGGTGTATTATACAAGCATCTTTACAAATGTTCACATCTATATAAATAACAATAGATTGGATTGTCTTTCTCCTTTATTGACTCCTAAACCACTTGATTGAGAGCCATAAAATTTAGCATACTCATAGTTCGCTACACGAAGGTTGGCATTAGGACATTCTACAACAAGTTATTCGAGCGGCGTGTGCGAAAAACGAAGATTCTCATAGGATTAACGTTACGCTTTTTTGCAATTGAAATTGCAGATGATTCTTTTTTAACTTAGAGCTCCTATTAATGAAAACTTAGTTACAACGAGAGCTTTAAGCACGTTTATTACAATTACGTATCTTTGGTTCTTTAGTACGTGTAAAGTAGTGGTGAGTACCAGTAAAATCAACGTTAGTAGTTTATGTGGTTTATTGGAGTTTTTACCGAATTAGTATTTTGAAAACTGCTCCTTAAACAAGTTATTAGTGGAGCGCTATTAGTCGACCGAAACCTCAATCGCTCAAGAACAAATCTACCCTTTTTTAGAAAAAAAACTGGTGTTCCTGTATGTTTGTCTGTAATGCATTACATCTAAGTAAGAAAAGAAAAGTCTGGTAACCGATCGAGCAATTACTTCGAAATCCCGTTCATATGAAACGGAAAGCAAGAATGGGAACCGATCGTGAACGTAACTTCTCCATTCTGGCGTCATCAATAGACTTATTCAAATCTTAGAGAGTTTCCCAACGATTCAATTTATAATTATGGTCTCCATCCAACAGCCGTCATTGTAAAAATTGATCAATTATATGCGTTTTTTAGTGCCCTCACATTTAAGAATGAAACAGCTGGAGGAAAAGTGATAATTTCACCAACCAACTAAATATCAACGTTGATATCAGGTCAACCAACCAAAATGAACGTACACTGGTACAATTCATATTACCAAGAGATTCCATTCAGTTATACACTTATCAGGTGCGAGAATTACATGCCAACATTCAAAGTGCAAGGACAAATTTAAAATCATGCCGGACCATTTCTAGTATTACCTGACACAGATCACAAACATCTGCAAATTTATTCCTGTAACAGCAGGAACTATCTGTTGAGTTTGTACCCACATCCAGTTTCTTGGCACATGTCAGAGAACATTATTTTATTATTAAGTTTTCAAGTATTTTTTCTATCATAATGATTGGAAGTTAAACACCAATTGTAGTTCCATTCACAAACCTTAATATGGTAGATTGGTAGCTAATTGACATTTTCTTAAAGATAAAAGGCCAATTTTTTTGGTAGAAACTTATTTCTAAAGTTTAAAAAATGAAAAATACGAATATGAATGTTGTAATTTGGAACAATGTTTACATGGAATCCTGGGCCTTTTCAACATATGTGCTACTGGTCCTGGTAGTATAATTATATCTTTCAGTGAGCCATGTCACTATATAAACTTAAAATTTCTTATGTTCTTCTGAAGCCAACAAAATTTTTGAAGTTTTCCAATGAAATACTCTTTATAATTGCATGCAAATAAATTCACTATAGTTAAGTAAAACTACATGTAAAATAAACTTTGATTGCGTGAACATCTATATCCTATCAACTAACAGGATTAAGAGAAGAACACATTAAATTAATGTTATCCAACCAATTAACATTCAATGTTCAAGTTAAATCACATGGTGATCTAACAAAAATAAGATGTTTTTATAAAATTTATCAATAAGTTAATGTTAAAGCAATTGCGTAACTAAATTTTCAGAAAAACATGAATAAATAATTCTAAATGCCTAAAAAAGTATTAAAAATTGAATTATAGTTTTTTTTAAAGATTTTATTTACATTTTAGTAAATTATTATAGTAATACAAAAAGCATTAAGCGTTTTATATTAATTTATGGACAGATATGAAAAAATAATTAGATAATAACTCAATAAAAAATATCCCAATTTGCGCAATTGTTTATTTAAGATTTTCGTTGAAGTTTCAATTATATTTTTTAATAATTACAATAAACTTTTAGCATTACACGAGAATTCCCGATTAAAATTATGAATAAATCATTTTTAATTTACCATTATCAGTCATTAATCATAGATTAGTACAATGTTAACAATATATTTCCGTGATTGAAGATCTCCCCGTTAAAAATATACAGCGATAATAACTATGACTTTAACTATTCTGCCTTCAATTTATAAATATATTAAAAGTTAACTCCCAGGTATTATCACATAAATTTAATATTACATGCTTTTCATCAGCTGCTACAGATTAAAATAATTTTCTCTGATATTCAATTTTAATAGATTATAAATTAAACACTGAATAAGTGAAATACATATTTACGTGAATGCGATATTTAGTAGATTTAATTTCGAAGTTCATTGACGCAATAAAGTAATCACCGAAAGTAATGGAGACAGAAGATATAATTTAAGAGTTTGAGTTTCTAGTGCAAAAAAGTTGCGTGATCAGCCAAAAATTAAAATTTTCAGGAAACACAAAAAAAATGACTGTTAAGATTTAAGCCTAATGACCTAATAGTCAATGGCTACCATTTGCTTAATAAATAATTATAGAACTGTTAAGATTTTAGACCGGTGCAATAAAATTAAAAAAATCTTCCAGTATTTTTTCCCAGATTACTTCCTATATTATTGTTCAGAACTACCACTTAAATGAAGTTGATATAATGATGAAAAAAAACAATTCGAAGAAAAACGTATACCAAAAATGTGTATAAACGACAATGTATTTAAAGTGAAGTTTTATTTTTGTTTCTAAAACTGTCCAAAAAATAATTCCCTACCTATATAACAATAATAAGATATTTTAGAATTAAAGATACTATCATACTTACAAACGATGTTATATGACACTGGAGAACATTTATTTTCTGCTGCCTGATATTTTTTAACAGATTTTAAATACTTTCTTACTCAAAACTGATTTGAAAACAGCAAACGGTTTCTCTCTCCCAGTAACAGTTTCTTTAATTAAATTTTTAGTCTGATTTTTGCAGAAATGTACAAGTTTAAATACGTTATACATAACGTGACGTCGCTTAAATTTTACAACACGCTTCTAGGGGAATCAGGGCACATCATCTGCATTAAAATTTCTTAACATTCCTTACTCGGAAATGTCACCATGCTCCGCTAATGTGCTTCACTATTATGAAATGTTTTTTCGTTTGCTTATGAACGGGTCATAATTGGAAAAAGCAAGTATGAAGTTTCCGGGCATGGGTTCATATGTAATTTCAATCCTGATTATGCGCCTTAATTTCCATAGAAGTTTGTCGCAACTTTTACGCAAAATCCCATTATTTATAAATTTTTCCAACAGGATAAATTTTTTTTCGCATTTATTTAAATTGTTCATCTTACGGAATACGGGTGTGGGCATTTCAAATCTGTAATTAGTTCTGCTCTTCAAGTTACGCACTTTTTAAAAACGGCTAAATAATAAGTATAAGCCAAAGACTAATGAAATAAATATAATAATCATTACAAGCAGTGAATTGCAAATTTGGTATTTCTATAATTATTATTCGCGATTATTATTTGGAAATTTGGTATCTAAAAGAGCGAAACGAATGGCAAGGGAAGGAAAGTTAACGGGACCGAAATGTCCTGTTTCAAACATATGTGGCAGTATTTTTACTTTCGTTACTTGTACCGCAGAAAAGTAAAAAGTACGTACAAGTAAAAAATACGTACAAAACAAATGAAATAAAACAAAAATACGACCACCGAAGCCGACGTCTTCAGGGGGTAAAAAATACGTACTTTTACTTGTACTTTCGTTACTTTTTTAGGGAAAAAGTACAAGTATTTGTAAAGGAAATGTTGAATGAAATAGTTACTTTTTTCTAAAACTCGGTAAGCTTTCTAAAAAAAAAATATTAAATTTAAAAAAAAATGTTTATGTTTTTTTAATTTATAAAATTAATGTGCAATATATATGCATTCACAGCTAATTTCGTGTTTAAATATCTTGACCTTTTAAAATTGTCATTCCTGAAAGGGAAAAGACAGCTCTCTTGATCTTTTTTGACTGCTTCATTGTGAGTGGAGTGTTCTCCAGAATTGTGCGTCCAGAACAGTCATTATTCATCATCTGAAAATTGCCTGTGATAAAGGATGACATGACTAGCAAAGATTTTGAATACCGGTGGTTTTCATCTCAAGAAAAAGTTTCAGAATGGTAAGAAGTGCGCTTTGAAATTCTGTAAACCAAGTATAATGAACGTATACGATTTTAAGAAAAATAAATCATCCAACCTTCAAATGTGTGAAGGCTGTAATTATTCTGACATCCGTGAACAGGCTATTTTAACACCTGAATCTTATCTTGATACCTGAATCCTTATCTCTGTGAGAATCTGAATGTGAATGATAGTTACAGTGGCATCCTTCTACAAACACTAAAACGTCTTTCTGTGTTAAATTTTGAAGTTTCAAGTCAAACTGTTTGATGAAATTCTAAGAAATAATCTTCAACAGTACCGTTAAGTTTTGGGGGGTTGGAATGAACAAATGCCCATATGAATACTGTTATCACCGTATGGGGTGGAAATTTTTTTTTGAAGGGGACTTGCTTTTTTTCCTCTTAGAAAATAGTTTTGTTTAAATAACAAACGAACTGTATGTTTGAAGTCTTATTGACACAAAGATACATTGATTTATTTTGGTTTTTGCTACTCCTCCAAAAAGTAACCATAAAGAAGAAACGAAGAAAACGCTGTTTCTCTTTTTATTCGTGGAGACCTGGACTAATGTGCATAGATTGAGATTCCTTATTTATGAAACTACGTTTAAGAAGATTTTTGAAAAAAGTAAGTAATATTTTAATATCTAATTATTTTCTATTTATAAAATAACGTTTTATATTTATTTGAAAAATTTTTCATTTATTTAAATGTGTTAATTAAGAAATTTGCTAACAATGTGTGCGCATTGGATGTTTTTTTTNAAAGTAAGTAATATTTTAATATCTAATTATTTTCTATTTATAAAATTACGTTTTATATTTATTTGAAACATTTTTCATTTATTTAAATGTGTTAATTAAGAAATTTGCTAACAATGTGTGCGCATTGAATGTTTTTTTTTAAAAATATAATTAACTAATTTAATATTACTACGTATTACAAAACATTTTGGCACAAAGTTTACATTTTTTAACGTTAAAGTATATTAAATTATAAAAACAGTGCTTTATTTAATGGAACTGTAGTATGCATTAAAAAAATCTGAAATATTATAATTTTTTTCATTTTGCAACAAAATATATTTTTTTCATTATATTAAACGTAACATATATACTATTACGTAAACGTATTAGTTTTATCATGAAATTTTAAAATAAAACTTTCGTTCATAATTTTTGATTATGAGTGGATTTAGTATTGCACATCGCTATTACAAATCCAAAAATTGCCATTATGAAATATCTTAAAATAAAAAAAAATTATATTTAAAAACAAAATATAATTTGCAGTTTATTGAATTTATAGGGGTTTCCTGTATATGAATGCATTTTTTTAAAATTTATTTTATAACATAAGTTATAATGTTTATCAAATAAGTTATAATGTTTATCAAATTTGTCGCACAAGGTAATTGAATTACATTTGATTTTAAAATTATATTATACGATTATATTACAAAATTATATTATAATATTCTTACGAACTTAAAAATAAATCAATGTCCATAACTTTCAAAATTGAAAATAATTAAATGAATAACAACATTTTTTCAAAAACTTTAAAGAATATAAGAATATTATTCAATAAAATTTTAGGCTATTTCGAATTTTCGATTTCCTAGATGTGTACTTATAAATCGTTACTTTTTTTGTTTAGTACTTGTACTTTTTACTCGTTACTTTTAAAAATAAGAACTTTTTTCCCGTTACTTTTTTTTAAAAACGTTTTCATATATGGTTTCAAGCAACGACATCATGCCAAATGATACTGAATACATGATTTCAAATTCATTTGACTTTATTTTGAGGGGATAAACAATTAAAAATTAAAAACGTGTCTTGCAAATCTAATAAGATAAAGTTACACGAAAGGAAAAATATAACAATAAATAAAACTGAACTGCATTGGCTCGTTCCTTTCAATTCTGTGCTTGAATTTGTAGTTTTGTTCAGTACTAATTTACTGGTTATCTTTTTCACTCCGTGTGATGAAAGGGTATTTAGATATCAGATATTATATCTCTCTCTCTCTCTTTATGTATATATATATATATATTACGAAAAACCGACAATATAAAATAAAAGTTAAGCAACCAAATCGCCAATTAAACTACCAGATTTTGTGCTNTTTTTTTAACTAAACTCTTTCTTTTTAAATGCAACTATCAAATAAGATTTCTGTTAGCTACGAAGTTAACGACCTAAGTCGAGATTTTTTCCTGAACTACCAATTCATGTTGACGTTTAGAGTCTTTTGCCGAGAAAATTTATAGCTTTCGAACATTCTTATCAGACTAAGAAACTTTGTCTTGACTTTAAGTGTTTCTGACCTGTGAAACTGTAGCTAAAAGCTTAACAAACCGCTTGTAAAGCTAGGCTTCCTAATTAATACCAATATTTGACTTTTCTGTTGGTATACATGGTCCGTGCTTAATAGATGTGAGAGAAAAGTTTTCAAACAGCTCTAAGTCACGAGTCAATGTGTACTAAAGCGTTGAAATTTTGAAAGTTTCTAAACTATTAATTTGATTGCTATTAAATCTGGTTTAGAAGAGCTATTTGCAATTATTTTTTATGATTGTTAGATTTATTATTTATTTTAAATTTCGATAAAACGTATCTAACCATTTCTTTAAATTTATCATTTTTATATTTCTATATTTCAATCTGATTTCTTTGTCGAAACATCGTAATCGATCTATTATAATCATAATCGCAATCATCTAAATTATTCTTCAATTAGTAATTTGCGTCTGATATTTTTTATAAAATTAAAATTTAAATGGTCGTAAAATAATAAGTGAATTTAGTATATGAATGATCGCTCAAGACAATAATATGACTAAAAATTTATTATTTTTCTTTTATTCTGCGTGAGCCATTTTTGCAGAAGAATGATAAAAATTATACTGTATATTTTTGTCATCTATTTTTTCCATCGTCATTCCTAAAAATGTTAACTATCTTTGAGATCGGTAGGGCGCTGGGCCCATATCCAAGAGGTCGTAGGTTCGATCCTCGCCGGCCGAAGACTCCCCGTGTAGTAAATGGTGACTGATGCACGTTAAATCTGTCGAGTCTCAAAGTCCTCCATGTTCCCACAACAAATCAATACCTCTGGGGGTACTGATCCAGGAGTTTCCTTGTCTTCTGGATTGGTTCAAAATTACAAGGCTACGGAGTTGAACGTAAGTAGTCGTAAACCCATGAAATTGGGTCGGCTGTTCAACGACGGTTATAAAAATAAAATAAAACTATCTTTGAGAGACTCATTAAAATAGAACATGCTATTTGTTGTATTTATCTAAGTAACGTGTTCTACTTGAATGACTCCATCTTTAAAATGGTGTTTTTAATGATAATAATAAGCATTATCATTCACCATAATTGGTTATTGAGCTAATACTTTTTGTTTATAAATAAGTCATCACAGTTTAGTGGCAGTTCTCAGGTCAACAAAAAATCAAAATTACGTAAAATATAATATCAGTTTTTAAGATTGAATACAATTATTTTTTAACGTTTTATTGAAACATATTCAAATAATCAATAAATGTTCAACACGAAGAAGAAAAAATTCTGGAAAATCGCCCTTTTTGAATGCTGAAGATATTTCAAGTGAATGAAAACAGAACTTCAATACAAGTATGTTACAGAACGTTCAGTGGAAAGGCGAGATTGCACGTTTTGGAAAGTTTCATGAAAAACTAATGGGCATGTTCATTATATTTCTCTTTGACAATATCAGTCGACACTGATGAATATGAAACATGAAAGACTTTTTGTTTGGGTTAAAAAAGCCATCATTAAACCCATATTACGGTATTGTAATCGAAAAATGCATTGGAAAATCTATTTCAAATTCCATTAGTAGTCGCAGAAATTTCATATACTCCGTAGTTAGAAGAATGCAGGTTGGTTTTCATGCATCCTTAAAATTTAAAACTATTTTATATCAAAAAATTTAAAGTAACCAGTCAGTTCAAATTTTTAATGAAAACCGAAATTTTTTAATTCAATTTGAATGATATTTTGCCACAAGACATTACAGAAGTTGAACGTGTATGTTGGATAAATTATAATGGAATTGTATAAAGGCAGAAATGGATTTTGCTATAGAAAAGAAGAATTTTGTACCTATTTTTGGTTTATTTAAAATCATTATTGTATATAAAACAATATTGCTTTTTCTACGTTCCCTTAGATACTGTGTAGTTTAATTCGCTTTTTTATGGCAACTTTGGCTCATTGACCTTAGATATTATATAGAACTATTGTTTATTTAAATAATAAACGAATATTAACCGCATGCTATAATTATTTTAATGCACATTTTACTCCATTTTGATACAATCCTGTCTCAAATATATTCAATATGTCTTCAAAACCTTTTGATATAAGAAATTCATGTTCTCCACTGCAGTAGGGATCAACATTGAAAATCTCAGTTGATTCTCAGAAAATAGATACTGCTTATTCCATAGAAATGATGAACGTACAACAAGAATAATCAATCGCGCACTGATTTTTTCAGTAATTAAGTCTGCAGAAGAATTGCTTTGTGTTTGGCAGAATTTCATGAAATTGCATTCTTCTAAGATGTAGTTGTTAGCTGTTATAGTAGTGCATTATAAATTAAATTTATAATTATAAGAAAAAGTATTTATTTTCAAAAAATTCTAAAAAAAAATAAAGCATTTTAAACAAATTTTTATAAAGAAATATTATAAAAAAGTTACGAATTCTTGTGAAATTTTTGTTGCAAATTTTTGTTACAAATATACACTGAGAAAAAAGCATGATCAAAACTACCAGCATATGGTTAAATTTATCGTATTTCTGGTAATTATTTTTTCTTTTGAATTTTGGTTATTATTTGTTTCTAAATGAGCCATGATATATAATGTTATAACACGTGATAGAATTTAGTAAACTCAAAATTTAGGATTTAATCATAATTTCCCAGAGCATGGCACAAAAGAAATTTTCGTGTTAAATTTATTTTTCAGTTTTATATTTACTAAATGTGTGGTTATAAGAACCATAATCTGGTAAACCGTTATGGTCTGGTAAATCTGGTAAATCTGGTAAACCGTCTGGTAATCTGGTAAACCCATCTGGTAAACCGTTACTATGTAAGCGGGAAAATAACTAACTGAAAAATGGAAATACATTACACTTCAGTTTTACTAACCAAAATTATGTTTTTTTTTTCTTTGTGAGCGATAAAAATGGCTAGCGTAATACTAGTAAATGTAGGTACTTTTTAATTTTGCCATTTATTTTAAAGTTGCAAAAGGAAAAAAAAAAATACGGAGAATGTAATATTTCTAAATTACTTACGTAACCTATTTATTTTCATTTTTCACTTTTTTATTTAAATAATAATTTATTTAGGTTTCATAAAGAACAGTTTTTACCGATACTTTTATTAATGTAACTAATAACTAATGCTACTGTTCCCAAACTTATTCTAACTTCGATAAAAGGAACTGAAAAAATGCATTGCCGAGTTACTATAACTACAAAACGATAAAAAAGGATAACAATTGTCAAACGTTTCCTAGTTTTACGCCTATGTTGCATCAAACAAGTGCAAATCCAAAAATTCGTTAAATCCGTTAAAAACAAATGAAAAGGAAAAATGTCCTTAACTTAACAATGTCACATCTATTGTTTATTTCCCTCACGCTATAAATCCCTTTTCGACTCTTTCATTTTTCACTTGGGTACCATTTTTCACTGTCATTATTCTAACGATTCCCATTTTTCGCTTTCACCGCATTTGTTTGTCGGTATTTTGAGAGTCATTTTATTACTATTCTTCCGCTTCATATTTCATTTTGCTTCTTTCTTTATTATGTTTTGTTTTTATTTCAACTCCGGCCGCGCGTAAATCCATTTTGGTTTTGAAAGAAAAATCCTTCGAAGATTTGTTTGGAAATCGTAGAATCAAACAGAAAGTAATGATTTGCGAAATATTTGCTTGCGTGATAAATTGCATCTTTTCTTGTTCATAAAAATTTTTGAAATATTCTTTGAAAGCATAAATCCTTTTTGTTTAAAAAAAATGCTTGAAATCGTATTACATAAGAGCATTTGATGTTTCCCCAGCTAGTTTTGCAAAATGGCTCATGTATCGCCATGATTTTCAGAACTCCAAAACTAGATTTTTTTATTCTTAACCAGCCAATTATTGAGTAATATGTTTCTCTATTTTGATTTCTAAACAAATTGTAGAAAACTCATCAGAACAGTAATATGATATATGGTTGCAAAGCAGAAAAAAATCGATATAAAGTACCATTATGTTAAAGTACCACTATGTATTTATTTTCAGTTGAATTTTTATGCGTAATTGCCTAACTGCCTAACTATACTTTAGTTTTAAACAATGATATTGATTTATTAACGATGTTAAAAGTGCTGCAATTCAGAGACAATTAAAAATGTTTAAAAGTGTTAAAGTGATTAAAAGTTTTTAATTGAAGCAAACAATCAAAATCCATCGCATAATACTTCATATTAGAAGTGTTGCAGGGAAATAAAAACAATGTTGAATAGTACAAAATGTAATTAGTAGAAAACCTCCTACCATTTTGATCTTCTTTTAAAAAGTACAAAAACTTTTTTAGAAATAGTTTTCACTTTTTGATTTTTTAAGGTACTCAAATCGAACTTTTTTATTTGTTGTCAAATACGATTCAATACTAAATTAAGAAAAAAATTAATTAAATTATTTCCCACGCATGCACGGTATAGAAGAACTACTTTAATAACTCATATCTTGCTCATTTTTTAAAAAAAAAACTAAAGCAATAGTTCTGCAATTAATTTTAAATTACTCATTTTTTAAAATTTTATCTAATATTTTAAAAGGTATTGCAAAAAAACGTAAGACAGACAAATTTATTTTTAATAAAAATGTCCATATCTCCATAAATATATTATCTAGGTTTACGAAATTTTGCGCAATTACCGCATATAACCACCAAAAAAATTGCTTCAAGTTACAAATGAAGTGCTTCATTTGGAAATAACTTTATTTAGCTTATGTAGGTACTGTTCAGTTTATTGGTTGTTTGGATTTACTCGTAATATGATTGAAATAAAAAAAACGTATCCTTGTTATTTACTTAGGGGCTTAATGGTATGGTCTTACATCCATTAAATTCTTTCTTGATGTAACAGCAGAAAACAAAAAAAAAGGATATTTACTAAAGTATTCTTTTTTTTAAAAAAGTATATTTACTAACGTATCCTTTTTTTAAAAAAATATATTTACTATACGTATTATTTTTTCTGCGCAGGTGGCTGAGCGGTTAGTATGCTTGTCTGTGAAGCCAATATCTGCAGGTTTGAATCCCGGTCAGAGCATGGAAGTTTATCTCAGTGTGTTGCCTTCTGTAATGTGTGAATGTGATCCACCCTATGAATGGGTATCATTGGCAGTGTGGCTCCTCCGTGACTTAGGTCACAAAGCTCTCACCAGGTAACGCAAAATGAGCAACACTTCCAGTACTTTCCATGGTGAATATCTGGCGATAAAAAAAGAGTTGTTTATTAAAATTATTTAGCTACAAGGGAAATTTATTTCTAATTCACGTAAGAAGCACTGCTCCTGCTCTTTCCAACAATCATATCCCATAATTGCTTCTCACGTGCTTTTTGTTTTGTTTTTTTTGTTAAAAATTTATATTTTTACAAAACCAAACAACTCATTGCTATTTATAAAGCATATAATTATTTTAACTTCATGTAAAAACCTTTTCTCAATATATTTAAGGAAGCAAAATGTTAATTGAACAATTACCCAGTTTCGAAAAATAACCATCTGGGCATATGTATAAGCAGTATAATGGAAAAACTTCTATATTAACACATTTTCTGATCCTTCTCAAACACTACTTAGAGAATCATTTCAAAAATTTAAAAGTATTTAGTGTTTAGGATACGGAATTTCTCATACTTATCAATGAAATTTAAAGCTTTTGGGGGTATTGAGAGAGACAGACAAAAAAGTTACAAATGGAAAGAGTGTTTTGGAACACCCAAAATCAGTAATACATCTCAAATATCATTTAAATTGCTTCCCAACATAAAATTTTAAATAAAATTAGAATAAATACGTTTTAAGTCTTAGCGTTTTTTAATATCCAAGGAAACCAAGATATGAATGGAAATTAGACTCAGTTTGGCTACACCTTTTTAAGGATGATGCAAATTTGAACGATATTTAGTTTCAATGTACTCTAAAATATCTATCATTGTACTTTGTTAAAATACAATGATAATAAGCTTTATTAAAATAATAAATTTAAAAAATATTAAATTGCGAAAAAATATAAGTCAAAGAGAAATATGTTCAAACGTATATAAAGTCAAATAATTACTATTAAAAAATTTAAATATTGATTCATTTTTAATGATAAGAACAATTTTTTTGCAAGAAAATAAATAATAAAAATAATGAAAACATCGCAATTACCACACTTTTATCAATTACGTATTTCATATATCTTATTTTTCGTTAAAAATTAAATCTTTTAAAACAAAAGAGTAAGACCAAAAACTTTTAGTAAAAACCATTATTCATTCTTCTTTTAAACTATTTTACATGTTTAAGCACAACAAAATGCCGGTATAATTTACCTTTCTTCAATGACGTGCGCTGCAAACTTATTTTATTTACGAAACGTTAAAAAATAGATAAATTTATTTTCGTAAATAAGCCCTGTTCAACGTAATGATCTTATCTAGGAGCGAAAGGGCTGTTATAACATTATCTAAACAACAACAAGAAATGAATATTTCAACAACTCCAGGAAGAATGGAAAGGATAAAACAAGGGGAAAATATTGGACGGTAATAAAAGTGCCAGAGAATAAAAAGAGGCCAGGAAATTGTTTACTCTTTAAAGTCATTTATCACGTTTATGTTTCAGTATGTGTTTAGAATAGTGCTTTTTTTTTTCCTTAAAAATTTCAGCAACAGTGTAATATCTGCATAAAATTGCGTTGATGATATCAAGCTTAGAGAAAATGTAATTAAAAATTAAATGAGTTTTCCTGTGATGTGTTTAGTTTTGTGTTTATGTTATTAGTTTTATTTTCCTTGAAAATAAAGTGTTAGTTATTTTCTCTAGTTTAGTAGTTAGAAAATACTTATTTCTTGTTGATGGTGACTGTAATTTTTTTAATTAATATTGAACAAATAATGTAAGTACCACATGGAATCTTTCTTTTTATTTTTTTTCCATATTTTGTGTAATACTTTCTTGGAAGTTCTCATCAAAGATTAAAACAATTCTTTTAAAAAATTGCATGCATTGTAAATCTATAATTTAAATTTTTATAGTCTTGAATGAAACAAAAGATCAGCACACGCATATATATATATATATATATATAAAGCAAAATTATCATTTATTACTGGAAAAAGAAATACAAATGAATAATGAACAATAGAGGCTTTAGAACCCTCTTGGGCAACCTCTAGCGCAAATGTAGGTCGCGATACAGTCTTCCGTTGTGGCAAAATTGTCCCTTATGATGTCCTGCGACATTTGCTGTAAAGACACAATTACATCGATTGAACGCATAGACTGAACAAATTACTGCAGGGAAGGTTGGTAAGGTGTGCAGTGTGTGACCGAGCATTATTTTGTTGAAAATTACATTTTGGAAGGCCTGCCGTGATTGCCTGCTTTATTTATACAGATTATAAACAATCAATTACTATGTCATATATCTCTACATAGTTGTTTTAAAAGTTATTAGAAAAAAATTATCATACAAAAGGAGTAAAAATAAAATTTAGATTGAGGTTTTTGGAAAGTTTTGAAATGCTATGCTATTGTTTTTAAGACACGAATACTATTGAATTTTTGTATGTCTTGGGAACAAGTTGCGTAAACGGTTAAATAATGATACTATAAGGTGTGGATATCTTATATCTTTAAAAAGTGTAACTTTAAAAAAAATAATAAATTTAAAAAATATAATATGCGTGAAACACAGGCAAATAGATAAGTCCATGTTTAATCAAATGAAATATTGATATTTAATGAAAAATAATTAGTAAGCATATTTAAAGAAATATTATATTATTATAACAACACAAATTTAAGTATTAATTTAGAGAGGATTAATATTAATTACCAGACTAAAAACAGTAAACAACTATCAACAGTTGATATTTTATAGAATAGCAGTTTAAATCTTGAAATAACGAATTTACTTTATCCTTGATTCCTTTGATAATAGAAAAAAAAAAATTCATTTTATTAAGCTCTTTGCGAAATTTTATCGCTGTTTATTTAAACAAGATTTATATTTCGAAAAAAGTCCTCCCAACACAAAGATGCCAAAATGTGAGAGTTTCATTGAGATAATAAATTCACTCTTACAATACCTAAAATATTCTAGGGGTATTTCTAAAAGGAAAATAAAGTCATATTTCTTTAAGTAATTCTTGTTTCCATGGCAACAGTGGAAAGAACCTCATAAAATTTGAATCCCGCAGTTACGACTAGTATTAGGTCGGATATTGATTTTTTTTTTACCAAAAATTTATATTCACTTATGATTTTTAATTACGGCTGAACATAAAATGCCGTATAATCTTTGAAATAAGTTTACAACATTTGTTTAAGGCTGGAAAATATCTATTTCAATAATAAAATAGTAGAGTAAAATAGAAGCAATAGAGCAAATATATACCGGCTAGTGGCTTTTAACTAATCTAGATATAGTATATATTTCGGACATTTACCAAAGCGAATATGTGACTGTTAACATTCACTGGTGGTCACCAAGTCAGCTACCACCAATTTTGGTTATTCACAGTAACACACACACATGTATGTATAAACCATTTTAATGATTGGAAACAATTTTAATACTCCAATTTCGTAATGCTCAAATTATTTTTACCTAAGAGATTAAGTGTCCCCAGAAATTGTAATTTTTTTTTCGAACTGCACATCATTGCTCATATTAATGGCTAAATCATGAATTTACAGTTATTTATTGTATACAAATCATAAATATCTCAAAATAAGCAAGGGAATTAAAAGCGAAATATTAAAGCATTTTTAAATTCTCAAAGTGAAGGAAATTTCATAAAAAATAATTAGTGATTTTCGTAATTGAATATGTTTTATTATTTTCCGAATACAATGCAAATGATGAAAAATACATTTACCATACTTTAAAGATAATAAAAATATTAAAAATAAGAGTTTTAAACTATATTATATTAAATCATATTTTGTTGATTCATGTTCTAATAACAGTACCATTTCTAGAAGACAATATGTTAATACCTTATTATGGAAGAAAAACTATTTCCTTACATTATCTGTCTTAATGTTCTAGTATTTAAATTAACTTATTTATAAATAATTATAAGATAATTATTATTAACATAGTTAAATATGACTAATTTTTATAAATGTATATGATTCGAAGTAAACTTGTAATGCTTGCATGCTGTTAAGAGACAAAACAGCAAAATTATTTCCGTTTTCTTTGCTCACTTAATGTTAACATTAAGTGAGCAAAGAAAACGGAAATAATTTTTAATATATCATAATTTATCATACATCATAATTTTTAAAAATCAACCAATAAAACATTGATAATTTTATTATTTAATTAATTAATAAAATTATCAATGCTTTATTGGTTGATTTTTGCAAAATTTTAAAACTTCATGAATATCTACTTGTTTGGTCTCCTAAACACGGATTTATGAAATATTATTTTAATTTTTTTAAATAAAATCAAGATATTAAAAACATGATTGAAACATCATTTTTTATGGTAAAATTTATTTAATATAGTGATAGATAAGTTTTTATCATAATGTAAAAAACAGCCATGTTTTCATTTACTGAAAAAATTGTACTGTAAAAAATTATACAATGTAAAAAAATTCCGAATCTAATTGTGGTAAAAAGTATTTGTACGGGAACATGTTACAAAACAAAAAATCTGATATATAACAATTTTTACAGTAAAATCGCTGAATCACTCAACCTAAATAAATATCATTGTAAAAATACAGTGTAATATTTTATGGCATAAATGGGTTTTACTGTAAAATAGATTTAATGGATGATGCACCTAAAGTGCGATTAACTTTATACAGTAATTTAATACAGTTTTTTATCGGGTAAATCTTTTAAGCATTTTTTTTATAAATTTAAATCATCTGTTCGTATTTTCATTAATTCTTAGTTTATTACTTTTGCAAAGGTCAAAGAAAAAAAAAGCCTTTTTCATTGTCTGGTTTCCCTTTTAATTGCAAAATTAACTAAGTCTATATTTCTTGTAACTGAAAACATAACAAATTAAAGCACTTAAAATATTTTTAAGATAAAATAGTGAAATAAGTAATCTTTCAAGGTTTTCTTTTATTAGAAAAAATTTAATAAAAATAATTTAAACATAACTTAAGAATATTATTATGACATTAAAATGTGCGGAATGTAGATAAGGAGTAACCTGTTTTAAAATATTCCATTTCAAATATAACGTAATGTTCAAAAATCAATCAGTAGAGCTTCATCTGGTACGTTTAACGTCTGGTATTCTTCAAAACAGCAGTTGAATGTAAGTTACGCCAACAAATGAGATAATTAGTACGCGGGGAAACTGGCATTTCATATAATAACCAAGTTTGTATTAGAGATAATATCTAGCCGAAAACATATGTTGCGATAAAAGCGTGTTACAAAATATTTCAACAATTCCTTACAGAAATTTTCTAGATAAATTAATCTAAAATGAGTATTGTGAAGCTGCTATAATCTAGAAATATTGATTATTTACTTACATAAGACTTAATATCTGCAATAATATAAATCTGTCTTGTGGATAAAATATTATTACCGTATTCCGTATTTTATCCTGCATTGTAATAAACTAACTTTCTCTTATTATTTTGAAGGACATTTAATAGATTGGTTGCTACACTGTACAAAATTCTGTACCAAATTGAGGTGTAAAATACCAGCACTTTCGGTACATCATCCGCAAAATCAATTTTACTGTTATAAATCCATTTTTAGTGTGACATATTTATGCCGCAGTTTTTAGAGGAATTTTTTTTAATTAGAGGGATTCAGGGATTTTACAGGGATCGTTTCATCTAGATTCGGTTCAAAAGTACGTGGCTACGGCGTTGAACATTAGTAGTCGCTAACCCAAACATTGGATCGGCTGTTCAACGACTGTTATAAAATAAAAATAAATAAGAGTTATTGTTACATACATGATCGGGGAAAAAATTATCACAATCCAAGTAAAATTTTCCTCTTTTTTTCTACCCTTTAATTGTTATTTTTTCTGATGGCTTTAGGGCATTACATTTTGAACAGTACATTTTTAAAAATTTTCATTAACTATTATCAGTTTCAGTTGGCATGATGATGTTGCTGGGGGTTAATTCATGATTGTCAAGATTTATCATAATCAAGTACATATCACCGGTACCCGTAACTTTCAGTGGACAGTAACAAATTTATAACTACATCACTAAAAGTTTAATTCCAAAATAGTAGTGAAATAAACACACCAGTCTATTCCTCAAATTAACCTTAAATATTACGGTAAAGAACAATTTTTATCTTTTGGTCTTGAAACTGCTTGCTAATAGTATTGTTTAAAAACCAAGATGACATAACAATACGGTTTTTTTAACGATTTGCTAATAAAGCATAGTTTCATTTTATAATGCGTTATACAAATTTTGAAAAAATATAATCATTATAATAAAAAAGGTAAACTTTTATATATTTACAGGCACTTTTTATACATTTACAATCGATAAATTAGAAGATTTAAAGGAAGAAATGACTAAAAATGCAAATGTTTGCTTAAATTAGAAAAGAGAAAGCAATGCTGATATTTGTTTGATTGTATTTTAAGTAAAAATTGAAATAAGAAAAATAAAATATAAAATCTAATTTCATTTATTCCACCACTTCAGTTGATTCACATTTTCTCCATTGTTTGAGAGGAAATTCCATGAACTTGAAGAAAGAGATATGGAAGAAATAAATAGTAAAAAGTAATTTTCTCTAGAAAAGAAAGAAATGGCCAATCAAAATTGCGTTTCGGCCAATTTAAAGTTCT